TCAGGCCTAAAGGTTTCAACAGGAGTATCACAAAGGCGGCTAATCCTACTTTCATAGTTCCCTGCTATGGATCATTACCCTGTGTGCTTGGGCTGCAATGGAGGCAGACAGAAATGGACCTGTACCCCTGACTGATGTGGCATCTAGTCCAGGGGATGGGGTAACTCCGGCCCTCCAGCTGTGCTTTTTAACTACAAATCCCAATGGGCCTCTGTTTCTGGTAGTCATGGCTATAACTGTCAGTCTTGCAATGCTTCGTGGGACTTGTAGTTCCACAACAGTTGGAGGGCCGGAGTTGCCCACCCCTGGTCTAAGCATTTAGTCAGTGTTGTTGTTTTTTTTTTTTAGGCCCGTAATATAAGTCAATGTTGTCAGTTGTGTATCCAGAAATTTTTAGCGCACAGTACAACCTAAAAAAATGCAGAGCCCTCAAACTCTGTATCCGCCCAGCTGTTTCAGGCTCGTTAATCCGCATCAGTCTTTACCAGTGTTTAAGAAACCGGTTTGTTGGGTGAACTTTTGTTGTTTTTTCTTCTAGTTGCATTTTTTAAAAGGTATTTCTTTTTTTCTTTTCCATTGACCTTAGATTCGGCGAGCTCCATCCAGGCTGTGCTTAGGGGTTGCCGATTCACCATTAGAATTGTGCTAAAGCTGCTGCTGCATATTGTGGTATAATTTTAGGGCCCATTCACACAGGAGCGGTCAAATACGCGCAAATCGGCTCTAAACACGAAAAAAAACAATGCACTTTAAAGGAGAGCTATGAGGGGGGTGCTTTTCACTCACCTCATAGTTCTAGCCGACCTGTGACAATGAGACTGTCACAGGTCGGCTCAGTAGATCGGGAGGTGAGCGAACACATACCGGCGTTCGCTCACCTCTCGATCCTGTCACGGCTCTCAGCGCTGACTGGCGGAACGGACGGTGGAGGGGGCGGGGACAGCTGGCTCTGCCTCTAGATAGGCAGAGCCAGCTGTCAGTCACGCAGCTGGCCGGATCCAGACATAATTGTCGGGATCCGCTTCAGCTGCGGCGTCTCAGTATATAGGGAGCTGTAGCTCCCTATATACTGAGCCTAGGGTGACGGGAGGACGCTAGTTTGTGTCCTCCCGTTACCCTAAGGAGAACTATGGGGAAAAGCCCTGACCCAATAGTTCTCCTTTTAATGTGCATTGTCCAGACTTCTGCTGCGGTGCAAAACTACACGTCCCGGAAAATAGTACAAGCGCAATTTCAGGGGCGGATTCTTGCACGATTGGCGCTGTGCTAATAGTAAACGAGCGGTATCCGTGCAGATGCAAAATTTTAACGTTTGCATGCCGTTTGGAGAACGCAAGCGCTATATATGTGAATGGAGGTCGTCACCCCGGACACATGTAGCTGCTCCATGTAATGAAATATAATCGTGTATAGAAATCTGGTAACGCGTACACTTCACTGTAATTTGAAATGGAGAATGCGTCGTCTCCCTTCTCTCCGGCATGTAGAAGCCGCCAGCAGCTCTCTCTACTATAGACAGCACCACGTTTAGGATTCAAAACCTTTTTTCTTCGTGCTGTGATAGCATGCATGTCGCTGCTTAGAAATAAAATACGCACAAGGCTCATTTCACAAAGCTAACGCATGAGGAGAAAACCATCCTAATTTTCCAAACGAGTCAGTTTTCGACGGGGTCTGGAGATTTGTCATTCAAAGTTCTATGGCTGAAAAGAGATCCTGATCAATGCGTCGATTGATTGGAGCCTTTGGTAACCCAACGGGTGTCTTTTTTAAGTACATTCCCTACTGGAAAACGCATGTTAGAATTCAATAATACCAGGGATGGAATTAAGCAGCCTGTCTGTCCAAACCAGGACCAGCAGGAGCTTCATTGACGGGAACTATAGTTGGGTGCCAGCTGTGATTTGGGTCATTGGCTACCTGGGATTTGTCCAGCCGTGCCTTTTATAGTATGTAATGCTAAAAGTTTTTGGATGCCGTGGGAAAGGTTAGATCTCCTGTCAGGTTTATTTGTTTGTATCCCAGATAAGGAGATTGCACCTTTTTATGGGTCCAGTTGACCATTGTCTCTGGTGAAGGAAGTGATGGGTAATTTAATTCTGAGTTGTCACTGAAACAGTAAGTAAAGGGATATCCCCAAAGAGAACAAATATCCAAGGGGATA